GTCTTCCACTCATCCGACACAGCGTGTTTCCGTCTCTACAGTCTCACGATCATGTTCCCACTTTCCTGCAACCGCGATATCGGAAACATTCGGAACGGATAATTCTGGTGGAGTGTGTCGCATGTGCCTCTACTTCTCCCGGTTGGCAGAATCTTCACGTCGGACGGAACATGTTTTCGGACTGCGTTACCAAGTTCCGTCGCTGCCTTCATCTTCGATCGTTTTCCACCAACCGGGGGTGGATAATGCATCCTCTTATGACGGAAGTGCACTTGCTCACTCCTACTGTCAGACTGTAAACGATCGTTCGTGCTGGTCTGACACTTGTTATAATCCCATCGGGCAGGATCAGGTGATGCATATGGCTTCCACACCTGTTGCTCATGCTAAACTGTTCACCAACTTGTCACATTCAACGCTTAGCCCATCCAATTCTTTCGTTGTACCTTGGATAGAGCGAACAGTAGAGCCCCCGGCATTAACTGTTATATCGGGTTGTGTGGCTTCTCCAGCATATCTACCAACTTTAAGCAAAGTAACCGCCTGACGATTACTTGTTTGCTTCATTCGTTTGGTTATTTATCGTTTCGTTCGATTTAGTTTACGCACCTGGTTTTATAAATGTTTCGTATTGCTTGAACTCTTTTCTTCAAATTTCTGGAACAGAATGACGACGTTTCTGCGGCGAAACGCATGCGTTTGGGTCCCGGAGCTACTGGGGTGACTGGTATTGGTGTTGGCTCGGGTCCCGTTGGGGACGGATCTCGTCCGGGAGCTCCAGAATTATCCGCCTCGGGGGCAGCCAAAGTAATACGGTCTGATGCACACGCCCAACATCTGTCTCAGAATGTGAACAACTATGGGAATCCTGTAAGTGTATTGTGTTTATTGACCCCATGATAGAACGGCGAGACCACATTGGTTCTATTTTACTATTCATTGTGTGTGGGCATCAAATGTCCCTAAGTCATTTTCATTGATCTCTTTTTGGTACTGATTATTATCAAGTAGTTTGAGTCGCGGTAGTTGAGTACCTTGGGGCCATAAGGTCTGAAATTGAATCCCTGCCACCTCCACCCAACTTGGTAGAAAGCCTCACTATTGTTGTGCCTAAAAACCACATCCATCTCATTGGCGGCCCTTTGTGTCTCACTACTCCAAATTCTAGGGCTGAGGTTATCCGTAATCATGCTTGAACGGAAAATTCTTGTGACCCTTGTGTTCACCCGTTCGGTTGTTCTTCATAGATACTTGTGTTTAATTGTAAGACTTCCAGACATATTACTTGTTTTATAAGCTAGATGGGGTTAGTAATTGTTAATCAGTTCATGTGCCCAGTAGTAAATATTCGGGCGTCCTTAATCGACTCCCTCCAAATATATTCTATAGAGTTCTTGTAGGCTTAGCTGCGATTCGCCTTTCCAAGTCCGATTCGTTACTTAGTTCACTTCGCGTCCCGACAAATACAGGATGCAGAATCAACAACCAAGATTCATGAGACACAGTTCTATAATGCATGACCAATTGTTACTAATGAAATAATAACGCACAGCCAATGTTTGCAGACAAGCGATGGTACAACCTAAACGTATTGTGCGAGCGGTTCACGTATAGGATACGCATAGTTCATTAGCGCAGTCCGCAGTGCCCCTGTTATGGGATGGGGTC